TTATTTTTGTGATTTTTTTTAAATTATTTTCGAAATAAAAATAATTTTAAAGGATTGAAAATATGATTTGCCATAAAATAAATAAATAATATAATTATTAATTTAAATAAATAAAATTATTTCATTACTTTTTATTTATTCGATTAATATTTATTTATTTAAAATATTATTCATTGAAATAACAAGAATAAATGAATGTTTGTTTAAAGAGAAATCGACAAATATATGTTTGTTTCACACAAACAATTAAGTATTTATAATAAAATATTGAGATTAAATTTAATAAAAATATACCGTAATGAAAAAAATCTTCCATAAAATTTATACACATATAAATTCTAAACGTTGTATACGTTAATCTGTCTTCTTAAGTAACTACTTAGAATGTATTTTACAAAGTGAATAAAGTCGATCGAAAAATGATGTTTGCTTCACGACGGACTTGCGCTCAAAAGCTTTCTGTGACCTAAATAGTTTTTTTAAGTTTCAAAATAATATTTTTTCACATTGATATTAATCATTTTATTTTTTTTGCATTAATTTTATCAAAACTTTATTGGTAAATGAATTATATTAATTTTTAAGAATTATATACTTTATAATTATAAGTTTTCATTGTTTTTTTTTTAAATATAAAAAAAGAAATAAAATATGCATTCCACTTGACATCTATACTATATTTGATTAAATGCATAAGAATATCTTAAAAGAATTGTTAAATTTTTCTTTTTTTTGTTTTTCTTTCGATAATTCTTTTATTATCATTTTTATCGTATTTATTTGAACTTTAAAAAAAAAAAACAAAAATAAAAAAACTGATAAAAAAAGAAATTGATAAAAATAAGAAAAAATAATTTTAATAATATAGAAAATTAATAATTAAATTAATTTTAATAATATGGATGGAAAAACTCATAATTATTATTAAATTTTTATTTTTATAATTGAATATTATCAATAATAATAAACTTATTGAAAAAATCCTTGAAAATCTATACACTTGCTATTTTTATATGTATAAAATTTTAAAGAACTTGTCTTATACATTTATATATATGTATATATGTAAGTTTACTTCAATATTATATATTAAAATAAATAATCAAAAAGAAACAATATAACATTAAATAGATCGAATATAGATAATAATTTGTTATGTTTATAAAAAATTTTTGTTAAAGAAATAAAGATTTATGAAATTCAAAAAAATATCTATTTCTATATTTAATAAAATAATATTTTGTATGAAATGAAAATCATTACACGATCCAATATTGTGAATGATTTTAAATATATAGAATGTATCTATTTCAACTATATTTATTTACCATTCAAGATATATATTGATATGTATTTATTTAAATAATTTTTATATGTTTCATAATTTTTATTAATAAAATTTCAAATAAATTTATTTGAATAATAACCAAATATATATATCACATATATGAATTATTATAAATTTATTAATATAAAATTATTAAAAAAATGGAAAAATTCCATTTATTTTATAGCAATTCTTATAACAATCTTGAAAATATTTTGATGCACATAAAATCATGTTTTATTTCTATTTAATAGAAAAGAAAAAGTNTATATAATAATTTTATAAATACATAATACATAACTATACATTTATAAAAATGCAAAACATGAATACTTATAAATAATATTATCTATAATACTAGTTAAAAAAGAATCAATTTATTCTTCTGCTACTATTGTTTAAGAAAACATTGTCGCTGTTCACACCTCAAAATAACTAAAAACAATATATTGCAAATTAATAATAATTTATCGTTGTTAATATATAAAAATAATATATAAAAATATTTTAATGAAAATAAATAATATATAATAATAATAAATAAAATATTATGCATTTATCCTTGAAAAAAATTGAAATATAATATGTATCATCTACAGTTATTCACAAAAATATTCGAATATTTCTTTTTTTTTTTCTTTTTTTTCTTTTTTTAATGATCTATACATCTTTTTTAATTATAGAAGAAATGAATTCAATCTTGTTTTTTTCGATAAAATATTTATTATATTTTATAAATATAAATAATTTAGTTAACTAACTTGACAATAAAATAATATTAAAAATTAAATAATTGAAATCATAACTATTTATCAAAAAATATTCGAACTCTTTAAAAATTTATAATAAAATAACTAAAATAGCAAATTTTTTAATAATTAAATATTAAATTAATTAAATATTTGTTTTTGATATTTTCTTAATTCATAATATTTTGAATAATCAAAAGTAATTAAGATATTATATCAAAAGTATTAGATCAAAAATTATTTTTTATTAAAAATATATTTTATATTTTATATTTTTTTATTTTAAATGAATTTGTTATTTTAATGTATTATATATTTTATATATTTATGTATATTTATTTTTTTAGTATGTATTATAATTTTTTATTCATTCCATGATCCAATTTGCATATGGACATGTAACTGCATAATATATAATATTTGTTAATTTAATTCGATGATTTAAATATGAATTGTGAATATTTTTGTACAAATAAAAATACATTTTTTTTTTATTTCTCCTCAAATAACAAATGAGCAGATTTTTTTAAGATTTTATATACTAAATTAATATAATAATATTATAAAAAATAATTATAAAAATATTATAAAATTAATATAGTAATATTATAAAAAATTACTACATTTGATTTTATAATAGAATATATAAAATAAAAAATAAAATAAAAAATTATTTAATTTGATTTATTGTTTGAAAATTAAAAAATAAATCAAAGAAAAATACATTTTTAATTTACAAGAATATTCAAACACATTGTAATTTTGAGTTATCATAATTGAGGAATCTTGTATAAACATTCTCATCCTCAAACTATCGATAAAATCGATAAAAAATAACAAAATACACTAAAGAAAAAGAATAAATGGATTTATCTAAACTAGGAATAAAATATACAGTATATTATTAATAAAAAATAATTTTAATTAAAAAAAATACTTAATTTTTAGATTGCTTAAAATATATTATAGAAAGATATCAAAATCATATTTAATTTTTATAAAATTTACTATTTTATTATAAATTTTTAAAAAGTTTGAATATTTTTGTGACGCAAAAAATAATTACGATTTCAATATTTAATTTTTAATATTATTTTATTAACAAATTAATTAACTAAGTTGCTTATTTATTTATTTATATTTATATTATTTATATATATTTATATTATATATTTATTTATATTTATATTATTTATATATTTATAAAGTATAATAAATATTTTGTCGAAAAAAATAAATTTGAATTCATTTCTTTTATAATTAATAAAGATATATAAATCATTAAAATTAAACATATGTTAGTGTCCGAATATTTTTGTGAATAAATGTATGTATAACATGTGATAACAAAAGAGTTAAATTTCATTTCATGTAAATGAAATACTG